GGCCTTTTTTCTTTTTGGAGTGGGTGAAACATTTTTTTTAGGAAATGCACTGAGAGCAATTTAAATCCTCCGCCCATTTTATCCCAAAAACCATCTTTATATGCCAATTCAAACTTGCAGTCATCCATTTCCTGCTAACTTTTTCATGATGATTACGTTTGTTCCTTTCGTTATTTTTATTTCGGCAGTTTTTTCGCAGAAAATTCGTAAGTTTCTTTTTGCATTTTTTTTCAAACCAATTTATTGGATGAAAATTTAACAGGTACGATTGAAAGAAATAAAATTGATCAAAGAAAAAAGAATGAACAAATTTAATATTTGAAAGACAAAAATTAATAATTTTAATTGGATAATTTATGAATAAAAAAAGGGGGCAAACAAATATGATCAGTTAAAATATTTATTAGGTGTTTGAAAAATGAAATATGAAACAAATATACAATTGCTAATAATTAATTAAACCGAAATTTTGAAATAATTTCATATTCTAATATTATTAATGTTAAGAAAAAAATTCTTCCTTTTATTTCAACTTTTTTAATTAAAAATTATTGCAGAAAGTAAACGAGCACATGAATTGTTAGAGCCGATACCATACAATAGGGGTGATCGTGAGCTTATTGCAAAAGCTGAAGAACAATTGCTGAATACATTATCATTGCTTGAAGCTTTAGCAGATGGTAAATTTCTTTTTTTACTCTTGTTTTCCGGAATATTACACCGGAAAAGTTTTGACAATATTTATAAGTTTTAGTGTTCATAAGTTGAATTTTTTTAATATTTATAAGTTTTAATATTTATAGGTTGAATCAAATAACAATTTTATTCGCTGAATTCCAAATTTTCAAAATATATATCAAGAAATTTTAGTAATTTTTGTGAAAAAATAAATTTATCTTAATCATATTAATGTCTTTTGATTAACCAATAGAATGGAATAGGCTAATAAAATCTTAGAAATTATCAGTTGAATAAATTCCAATTATTGGAAACGATTATGATTAATTCAGTATGCTTTTCCATTATACTATTTAAGCTTTTTTTTCTAAATTTTCATGTTAAAATTGTTACCAAATAAATGTTTTTACCAAAATTCTGCTAAAAATTAAAAATGATTCAAATAGCAGAGGTAATAAAAATTATTCATTTAGCAGCTGTAATAAATTTTAATCGTTTTTATTGTATATTATCATAATTATTATTTACTATTTTCCAACAATTGTTTTAGCATTCACTATTCTTACTGAAAGCGTTGCTTCACAATTTCCTTAAATTGTTTGAAATTTAAAATTATTTACTACTAATCATAATGTTGCAACCCACATCGAATATCGCAAAAAATTCAAATTTGTCAATTTATGATTTACTACCATTTTGTCTTCTAACATTAAATAATTTAGGTTCTGTCCTTTCTCCAATACTTAATTCTTGAAACTGAAATATTTTTGAAGTTTTGTTCGAATTTAATCCGTTGTATGTATATGTGTTGCTGAAAAGAATGCGAAAATAACTGTCCTGTTGTTCAAATTTAAAAAATAAATATAAATAAAAACAAAATAACAAACATCATTTTATATTAAGACTAATGATGTCATAAAATTATGATTTGCAAGTATTTTTAAAAATTGTTAAATTAATAAAAAAGTTAATGATTTATTTGAAATTACAAAAATTAACATTTAATAAAAATTTTCGCCTATTACTATTTTAAAATATCACTCATAACATCAATGAATATTAAATAATAATTCATTGCATTTGTAATTATAATTCATATATAATTAACAAAAAACGGAAATTAAAAGTTTGTTTTATAGACAAAAAAAAAAGAAAACGAAAAGAAAGAGAAAAGAAATATTTAATTTATATAATTTGTTTGAAATTTTTAAAATTTTCTCATGCAGAATAACCAACCATAATATTTGTCATATTATTCAGTAGAAAAAAAAGCATAAAAAAGAGAAAAAAAGTTTGACAAGAAATTTAATGGTTTTTCATGTTTCACTTCGAAATTTTGAAGAGCATTTCACAAATCATGCATCAAAGGGTTTTTTTTTTTTTGACATACTTAAGATAACCATTATTTTGAAATGAAAGAAAAGAATTGCCGATTTACAATTGGTCATTGCATCAAATATGCTTTAAATTTTAAAATATTCACTTTTATTTATTTTTGAATTTAAAAAAAACAATTCTGATTACTTTTTTCTTTGTTTTCATGAACACGCATTTTTCTGAAGTACTCTTAAATGCATGCTAATGTTTTTGATGAAGCATGCATGCTTATCACTCGATAAAATAAAAAAAGTTTGAAATTTCGAATTTTTTTTTTCTTGAGAAATAATATTATCTTATGAATAAATCTCATGAAAGGCTTAGAATAACTTGCTTGCTACCTTTTAATATTTTAATTTAACTAATTACCATCTGTCAGGTCATTACGATATTAATTGTTCGAGTTAATAGTTATCTAAGGATTATGCATCAACGGATTATGCATGGAAGACTATGTGACCAAGTAACTAAGTCCATAAATGATTAAAAAATTTAAATCGAAAGAAATTTCAATTTTAGAAAATGCTCTATTTTATCTTTTTATTAAAAAGAAAAGCATCGCTACTAATTTACTGAACAATAACAATGTTTCTCACATCATCTAAATTTTGTTTCAGAAATTTTGAAAGTTTCAAATGATACTTCGAGAGTTTCAAAATTTCCAAAAAGATGCTTAAGAGATTTGAAAATTATTATATAAAGTAAATTTAGAATTTATATTTATCACGTATCTAAAACAATCTTTCATATCTTTTGCAGATACAATGAAAATTGCCTGTACTTCACATGACTCAGACATAGCAAGATAAATCTTATAGAATTCATTACATGTATTTAAATTAATTCATACATATTTCTTATTTGATTTATTACAGAAATCAAGGCAGATAGATGGATTGCTTTTACATGAGGCATGATTTATTGTATCACATTATTCTTTTTGATGAATGATGTACAATTGCCTAATTATCTTCTTTTCTTCTCTTTCTCTCTCTCTCTCTCCCTCTCTCTCCCTCTCTCTTGATGAAAGCAGTCAATTTAAATAAATTCTCAAATTTCAAGTCTAAAAAAAATTTATTCCAAAACTTCAAAATTCAACGTTTAATACTTTCTTTATACGAATAAAGCAATTATTATCCTAATTATATGGGACAATTTAACTTGCTCAATTTAATGATTTATTATTAACTTTATTTATTTATACTTTACTTTTTAAAATTTTATCATAAATTAAACGACAGTTATCAATGAATTAATGATAATGGCAAATTATTGTGTATTTTATTATTCTATCTTTTATCACATCCAAAATTTTTCATTTTATCCAATCGTTAACTTTCAATTTTCAAAGATTTATCAAAATTAGGCAATCGTCTCTCTGTAGTGCTATTACTGCCATCATTTTATCCATCAATGATTTCTTCTTCCATTTTCTCTTCTTGCTCGTTATTCTAAATATAAGTTCACAGGCATTTAAAATTCATTGATGAGTCTGTTGCATGCTAGCTAAATGCTATTTCAAAGATCATTCTAGGAAGATAAATGATAACATTTGCAAATGAAAACGACATATTGTGGTGATGCAGGAAAAAACATTTTTTCGTCATTAGAGAAAAAGTTGCTATAGTATCCAATTTCTTTCTTTTTTTTTTTTTTTTTTGAAGCATCTTCTTTTCAAATTTACACAAATATTTAGTTAAGGTGAAGTTCCATCTTTAATAAAATAAGCAATTATTCCACTAATAAAAAAAAAAGCACGCAACATATTCAAATTTGAAAGAGTATTTTGTTTAAATTGAAATATTTATGAAATATAAACTGCATGTAATTGATGACGAAAATAAATGTTCAAATCTTGTAATTTCATCAATACTTTTTATCAAAAATTTTATGCAAATTCATGATCATTTTATCTTTTTTTTTTTTGCAAAGCTATTCTTAATTAAAACATTTTGCAGATTCCAATCAACTTCAAATGGAGAAACGACGTAACAAATTCGAATTTATACGCTTTGGTCGTCGATAACATCATTTGCTTCTTCACAATATGTTTTTACGTGATGCGACTGTATTGTGGAAGTTCAGTTGTGCATAAAAATGTTGATACTATGCATTATATTATGCTTAGACAACATTTTATTTAATGATAATCATGAAATTCATTTATAAATATGTTGTCGACAATTTCATATACAGTTAATATCATTCCAGATATCCGGAAAGAATCAAAGTATTACAGTTACGAACAGTACATCGGGATAGTATTTGCTTTGAACATAAAATCTTACAATATTGGAATTTTTAGATATCTTATAGTATCAAACTTTTTATGAACATTTTAGAGTATCAAATTTACAGTATTAGATTTCCGTGTATACTTTATAGCAATATTGAACTGATATTCAAGGAATGTTTGATGATAGCACTTAAAATTATTGTCATCCATATTATCAAATACCTAAGATAATGGAAGATAATCGTTTACACAAATATAATTAATAATAGATTTCGAAATAAGCAACATATTGCAGTAATTTACAGTATAGCACTTGAGTGAAAGATTAGCAAGGAATAGAATCTTGAAGCATTTGATATATACATAAATTATACGTCAAAATAGAAGCATCGAAATTTATAAATCTTTTGATGACAATAAAACTTATTAAATCATTACGTGTTTTAGCATACTGTAATTCGATAACGTCAACTCCTTTTAAATTCATGCACATTCTTTCGTTAACTTTTTTATTTAATGTTAAGTTGTCTTTTTCATTCATATTCAAAATAGTCAAAGAACAGGAATGATGGATATTATCATATTTTCATTACAAAATTTAATTAAAATTTTGTTAATTTTAATGAAAGTTCAAAAATACGATTTACTATAAATAAGCAAAGTTTGAAAAAAGATAATAGAATGATCTAAATGCTAAGAAGAGACATTTCATTAGTAAGAATAATTTCATTGATAAGAAATAATTTTAAAGCATTCATTCAAAAATCCGAGACAATTGTAAAATGTTCAAGGAGCAATTTTTTTTTAAATTAATAGCTGGAATTATTGTCAAAGTTTCATCCTTAAATAATACCTTTAATCTATGAAAGCATGCAAATTTGTCATAGCTCAATAAAAAAAACTAAAAGAACGTTTAAATCTTGTAAATGAAAAGCACTGAATAAAACTTAAACATTATTTGTTGAATTTACAATCGAAAAAATTTATGATACTTCAGTTTAGTCATCAAAAGTGAACTTTTTTATGTGTTCTTTTTTCTTTAGCTTATCTTTATCAAATAGAAGATTTTTCCTTAGCTCATTTTTATCAAATCTTTCTTGAAGCAATTCAATAAAGTAAGAGGAAATTAAAAATAATGTTAATGATTTTTTTTTCCATATTCTGCAGTTAAATTTTGCAAATTGTTTAAATCATCACCTTTTCACTTTCGTCCCAAATAATGATTTTCAAATCTTACGCATTATAGTTTCAAAATTATCGTGATAACTAAATTATGATAATTGAAAATTATTGCAAATGTACCGAAACCGAAAAAAGTAAGTGCTAAAAAAATGTGGAATAATTTTTTTTATTACTATATATTTTTAATGGAAGTTAACATGTGCAAATTCAATATTATATCCAATAATCTAATATCTGATCTATAATGTTTGATATTTTATTCAATAATATAATATCTAATCGATAATATTATTTAATAATTTAATATCTAACGATAATACATATTTAGTACTGAT